GCTGCAACAGCGGTGGGGGCTTGTGGGGCTCATGGCAGAGCCCCTCCTGCAGCATGGGGCAGTGGGGAGCAGCAGGGATCACCCCACCACTTGGTGAGTGCAGGCTTTTTTTTTTTTTTTTAAAGAAATGGGAGCCAGGGTTGGGTGGGGCAGTCATGGGGAGGGCTGGGAGAGTGGGCAGAGGTTGGGGGGCTCATGGCAGAGCCCCCCACTCACCATAGGGCAGTAGGGATTGTCCCCCCGCCTGGCAGGAGCCGGTGAGTTGGGACTTTTTTTTTTTTTTTTAAAGAGCTGGGAGCTGGGGCTGGGTGGGGCAGCCATTGATGGAGTGGGAGAGCAGGTGGGGGATTGGGCTGATTCAGAGATTTGGCTGATTTGGCAGCGGCCGAATTTCAAAATCAGATTAGGCCGAATCTATTCGGAACAGTGATTTGAATCACTGGATCAAATCACTGTTCCCCGAATTGGCCGAATCTGAATCTGAAGTGAATATTAGTCGCTCTGCACAGGCATAATAATTATGGATACTCCTTAAGGGGTTTTATATTGGTTTACCTGTTTCATTGCCCATATATGTTTACTGCCTATTACCTAAACTTGCCTGTGTATGTCTATTGCATTGCTACCTCAATTTACCTGGGTTTATCTGAGTTGATGCTTATATGTGTTTACTGGGTTGATGCCTTGACTTACCTGTTCCAGGGTGTTAATATTCATCTGTGCAGGGGGGTTAATTATTGCCTGCACTGTGGATCACCTGTACTGAGTTCCCAGTTACCTGTTCTATGTTCTGCAGTCCCTCAAAATGGTGCAATGTGTTGATTGCAGGTTATTGTATAAGGTGTCACATACCAAGTCTACTGTAAATATTTAATATTTCTTATTCATATTTATTTTTGTATAGCAATAAATTTGTATATAGTTAAGAGCTTTGTCCCGACCTGGCTCTATAGAGAAAAGAGGAAACTGCTCCCCAGTGGCAGGCCCCTCTCACAGTACTCTTGCCTGACCACACCATTCCTTCCAGTTGTGGACAGGGCACATTCTCTGGGTGTACCTGGGCCACATGCTATCTATCTATCTATCTATCTATCTATCTTGGCATTTCATTTTAATTGTAGAAAAACATGGATTTAGGGTTTTTAAAAAGAGAAAACCAGGATCCCTGCATATCAGGCAAGGAGCACAGGGCAGGAAGCAGAAAGTGGAAAAGCAGCTTGATGAAGAAGCGCAGAGCAGGGAGCAGAAAGCAGCAGATCAGTTGGGAGAAAGGTACTGGAGTGGCAGTTGGAGTGTGTGGGGCTAATTTGTTGCATGCCTGCCAAAAGGTAGGCACCCACTGCCCTAATCTGATAAATAGTATGGAGCCCTGTAGAAACCTAATCTGAACAAAATAGTTGCAACCTCTTAACTATGAAGAGATGAAGAAAAGAATCCATCCTGATCACTGCTGCAATGTAGTAATCAAAGTTCCCTCTGACCTAACACTCAAGTAACAAATGGTGCTCATGCTACTTCATTTTAAAGGAGCAGAAATATCATACGTCTAATTCCTTTTCATCCTACCCATATTACTCCTATTGTATGCACCATATTAAGTTTCAGGCTGCTTGTGCCCAGTGTTGATTCGATTTACCAAAGATTGAATCAAACAGTGCATTTACCAAACAAGTACCCGCACAGTCAGTTGAAATAAACATACATTCTTCTTTGTCAGGGCTAATTTTCACTTCTCTAGCAGTGCAAAATGTCCCCAAGTACAGCCTAGCTTAACCCTTGGACAATTGCTTTATTGGAGAATCTTTGGACAGCATAACATTCTTTTAAAATAGCTTGTATGTAGAACTGAGTGGGGTTTTTTGTTTGATTAATTATGACTAGATTAAGAAATGTGGGTATGAGGAAACCAAAGCTGCTTATGATCTTCAATTTGAATTTAGCAAGTAGTATCCGCTGAAAAAAAGTGGGGAAATTATGACAATGTCATAATACTTTAGTTGGAAATGGCATTTTTTTGTTTAAAAATTGACCTAAATTTAAAAAGTATAAAAAAATCTCTAAAAAATGAATGAAAATGTTTGGTTTCAAGTCAAACAAAATGTTTTGTTCAAATTGAAATGAAAGAGTTTTGACTTAAGCAAAATGTTTTCAGTCAACTCGAATTTTCTTTTCTTAATTTTTTATTTCACTGAAGTTTCTGTTCTGTCAAACCAAACTTTTGACAGAAGCAAAAAATCCATTGTTCATTCACCTCCACCTGTGATGGGAATCCTCTTCTGCTGCTCCTGCAGGGGTGGTTGGAGAAGGGCAGTGGCAAGGCTCACTTCACCTTAGTTGGTACTTGCTTGTTATAATGGCCTCCTTCAGTCACTTGTAGCCTGTGATACAGTGAAATAGGTTTGGCAGAAGACTTCTGCCCCTTGTGTTCTAGCCATTTGCAGTCCAGTTTCAGCAGATTCAGCTTATCTGTGAAAGAGGTCACCAAGAAATATGTGTATTTTCTCTGTTGGCAATTCATGTATGTGGTGCAGCTTGGTTTAAGTTGGGAGTTAGGAAGATTTCTAACCCATTGCTTCATAACCCTTGGCAGCAGGCTGGAATTGCCAGGCTTGGGTCCAGGGTGGGCCAGGGCTAGGACCTAGCTGTTGCTGATGCCACTACTTCTCCTCACTGTTGGACTATGGCACAGCATGAGAAAGCTTATCACCACCCAGCCCCCTGGCTATAGAGTGCATAGTCCAGTGTGGTGCAGGGTGGCAAAGCCCCTGTTGCTGAACACCACCAAAGCTTCAGCTTTAGGGGCCAGATTCAATGGTTTCGTGGGGAGATCTGAGTTGTAGGCCATAGGTTGCTGACCCATGTTCTTAATTGACATATTCAATAATCTTGCATATATCACCAACATTAACCTCTGTTTCAGTTTTTAGACCTGTAAAGTAAAGATGACATTCATCTACTCTGCAGGCATGTTCAGAATTAATTTATAATATATAATAATATATATATAAATGCTAAGTTTTAACATAATACACATGAGGACAATATATCAAAGTAGTTAGAACAAGGTCCTAAATGGAAAAAAAACTGGGATGTCCTAGGCCTGTATATGCTGTATATCAAATAACATCTGACATCCATATTTATGGAGCACAATAGTAAGCAGAAAATAGTGGAATTGCCTTTGAACAGAGCACTGACCAGTTATTTTGGTGTGTTAACAAGGCACCAAGAAGATTCATGGAGATTTGAATAGTTAAAACAGTTATGGCATGAAAACAGAAAAAATGAGAATGAAATTGCCACTTAAGATTCAAAGGCCTGAAATTAAACATATGTGATATCACTCAGAAAAAAGGTGAGGTTGTGAGTGATAGAATAAAAGGTCAGAGAAATAACTCCCAGCCCTTAATGTACTAAAAAAATATTCTCAAATGGTAATGGGTTAGGAAAATCTGAAAAGGCATTCTTTTTAACAGATTGCTGAATTTTCTCTTGTCTGCTCTGGAACTGACTGGGTAGGCTACATACCCTTTAAAAAGGTAAGTCATAAAGCAACTGGCTCTACCATCCTATTCATAAAATGCTTTCTCAGCTGATTCTTCTGACTACTCTCAAATCACTCAAGCTTTGCAGATCCAGCATGCATGGCAGGTTTTCCCCACTGGGTTAGCAAGTCTGGTGTAGTTGTGGGTTCCCTTTGACTCAGACATTTTACAGAGAGGCTGAGAAGTAATTATTAATTCAGGACAGGACAAGCACTGTCAAGTGTACAGCATAAAATTGCTCAGTGCTTGACAAGGCTGCAACAAATTGTTTGTAACTGAGTCTCACATGTCTATATACTACATCCTTAGGAGTTTAATTTTAATAATGCTGTGTGTTTTCATAAGTATGTTTTCATAGTGCATCTGTTGTTCAGTAGCATTACCCAACAATGTAGAACAAGCTAAGAATGTTTTGATCAGTCCAAACCCACTTAACAAGGTTGAATATATTTAAAGAATACTGTCAAGTACTCTTTCTTCCCTGATTGTTTTTAGCCCTCTCATTTTAAACCAATCCTTGGTTTCCTGTCCTATCCCATTTATGTTTTCCTGCCTTTTGTTTCCCTTTCTGTCTGTGCTGTAGCTGTTCAATAGATGGGACAGCTCTTGAATAGTCAGGTGCTGGCTTGATACAGACCAGCAGGAGGAGCTCATTGACCCTGTATTTTAGCAGCATTGTAGGGTTTTTTTTAATAACTGGTGTGTGAAAGAAAGAACAAATGTAAGATGTGTCAGTTTTAAAATTATAGTACATCTCCCCCAACAGGTAATACCTAGAAATGTTTTAAATGAAAAGTGATTGTTTAGTTTCCTCATGAATAGTAAATGCAAATACCCATCTATATAAACTCAAGAATTATTTCAAAGAATAGTATGTACACATATAATGTACAATTATGTATCCTGTTCTAATAATCTTTTAGTTTTTAGTTGAGAATAGCTGTTTAAGATTCTTCTCTAGTTTCTGCCTTTGAATGTATATCTCTGCATTCAAAGGCCTCCTCACCATCAGATGTACAAATCCTACCTACTCTGAGGCCCTTTCCCTAGACATACCCTTCTCCCTCAAAAAACTCAGCAATGTAAATTACATTCCTTCTTTGCTTTAAATTGAATTCCTTAAATCACCTCCTCCTCAAATGTGAGAGCGCTTCTTTTTATTCCTTCTGAAAAAGGCTTTCACAAACTTTATCTTAGAACATTTCTTTAGCTTCCTTCTAGAAGTAATGATTATTTATCAATGGATGTTTTAATAGGTTGTTTTTTTTTTAATAATTTCATTTAGCTTACATAGTAGAGATCATTAGCATGTTGATCTGGAGACTTTTCTTCTGGCCCGATAAACTGAGAGCAGTCCCTCCCAACATCTCTCCCAGTGACGTTTCACCACCTGCAGGTTCAAAGAGCAAGAGATCAAGAAGGGGTTTTAACTCTAAGAACTCTTCTGTCATGAAACCAGGAAACCACTAGCTCTGCATAGAAGGATGAGCATAGACTAAATGTAATTACTTGTGGTAGAGAACTTGTTAGTGTTACTGATATATGAAAAGTAGGTCAGGAAAATTAATACTCCCAACATCCTTTCTCTGCAGATGCAATAGACCAGTAGGGTTCTAGTCTCTTTGGCTAGCATGCCACAAATTAGCCCTGTACTCTCCCCAAGTACCACTCCAGTCCCCTTCCCCTGCCCACTCTGCTGCTCTGCTTTCTGCTTCCTGCCCTATCTGCTTCTGTGTGTCCCCTCTCTGATCTGCTACATGGCACCTGTGCCATAGATTGGCCACCCCTGCAATAGACACTTCTACATGTCTTATTTAGGAATCCACACAATGTAATAGAGCTATCTGTTTTTTTCCAAATCTTCCATTAGTCAGAAAATCATGTAATAGGAAAAGCCAATCATATTAGAAGAAATTGCATGGTAACATTTATATATTATTTAGTCAAATATGCTTTCCCAGGTCAATTTGTCCAGTTTTTAAATGTTCTTTTTAATTCACATCTCATTATCTGAACAGTAATATCAAGTAGGTGATATCTCCTCTGTAGTACTGCCACAATATATGTGCAACAAGACTCTAATAGTGATTAAAACTAACTTTATAATCACTTTCCGCATGTAAGTATTGTTTAGGTTTTTGTCTGGTTCAAATTTGGGAATTATTTTTTGAGGTTCAGAAGAATGTATAATGGCCTATTTATTCCAAAATAAACTTTTTAGAAAATGTTAATATAAATGAGCAAAATTCATATACTCTCCAAAAAGAAGCAATAACAAAACCAAAAGCAAAATTAAAAAAATAAATAAAAAGATGCCTCTCCCAGGCCAAAGATCAGTGAACATATTAGGGATGATACCAATAGGATTTCATAGAAATGAGACTAGTAATCTCTAGAGCTTAATAGAGAATGAAATCTATCTTCTAGGTTTTAAACTTTCATATAGAATTTAGTAGTGAATTATGGCTGAACCTCAAAATGCTTAAGAAAGTTGTGCTTATTTGAAAATCCCAGTCTGTATCCCTGCTGTTAGTCTTGTATAGGTTGGTTTAAACATTATCTGGAAAACTTATTATTTGTAGTTACTCTAGTGGTTTCATAAAACTGATATATATATATATATATATATATATATATCAGTTTTATGATACCACTAGAGTAACTACAACACTGTAGCCAACAATCCACTTGAGAATAAGCATAGGTTTAATCCATTTGTCAGACTCCCTGTATGGCTCTACCTTTGAGCAAAGGCTTATACTGAAAGCAATTTTCTCCTTCAAAGAGGTATTCAGCATTTTATGAAACCAATCCTCTTAAAAAAAGAGAAGTGACTTTCTATTGTCTGAAAATAACCTTTGTAGCTACAAAAACTAATAGCCAAAATCAGCTTGATGAGGGAAAAATGTATTTTTAAACATGAATGCATATTTATGTGATAGCCCATAATTTAACAGTTATAAAGTCTTAGACTTGCTTTTTTTGCTAACAAAACAAAACACTGCTCAGCTCTAAATTCAAAGTACTAAGTCTGAAACAAACACTGATTATGCTTGGTAGATATAATTCTTTATGAATGAACTCAGAACTGGTAATATCCTTGAATTTATATATGAGCTGAAATCCTACAAACTAATGGTTATTTTATTTGATTTTTGACTATATTTTACATTAGTAAGTTTTTTTTTCTGACCCACAATGAAGGAAACATCTTGGATTCATTGCTCTTCTCCTCCGCATCCAAAATTTGACCAGATTTTATATCATGAATTTCATCACCATATCTGTGAGGTCAAACTACCATTTCAACTTCCTCTTATTTGTTCCACTTAATGCACATTTTGGCACATGTCCAAATGCTGTTGCCAAAGTTATGGTCATTGAGCACTGTAATGCCCATCTGTCCCCACTCTCTGAAGCCCGATGCTACATTGCTCTGCGTATAACTTTCAGTAATAGTGGACTGTTGCAGTGGATCTTTATGTGAGAGCTTGAATGATTAATAAGTGATAATAAAGGAGAAAGGCTACTACTTTTAGAGAGTACAAACTCTAGACTCAGTCTCTGGATAGCTACCAAGAAACATATACCAGCATTTAAGTTGAAGGAGATTTTCTCTGTAATCTCTCACCAATTTGAGAGGGGGGAAGAGACCCCAAACCCCTTTCTCCCACAGTCCCCCTGCCAGGCCAGGCAGCAGTGTGCTGCTACCTGGCCAGGGCTGTGGCAGGGAAACAAACCCCAAAGCCTTTCCCAAACAGCAGCCCCAGCTGGGCAGTGGTGCACTGCTGCCCAGCCAGGGCTGCTGCAGATCTTAGATTCTGGACCCTTTCTTCTCCCCAGCCAGGCTGCGGCACTCAGCTGGCTGGAGGGAAGAGGTGGGGCTGGTATCAGAGGCTGAGGGAGCGGGGCTGGCTGGGAGCTTGGGCAGAGCAGAAAGCTCTGCCTGAGGCTAGAGTGCAGCCCTGTGCAACACTGCTTAAGATGGTGGTGATCGTGCTCTTAAGTTAATCCTTGATGAGTTCTGGCACTCATGTTTGATAAAGTGCTCTAACAGTACTTTAAGTTATTACACATCCGCCGAGGGTTAACTAGAGCATGATCTGCCATTTTAAAAGTGCTCTAAGAGTCATAAACGTCTATTCAGTTATGGATTTAGAGCGCTTTCTGTGCAGTTAAAGATCAGTAGGTGTAACATCTGTACCTAGCCCTACTTGTCTCTTCCATCCATAGCCTTTTTTTCTAATAGCGAACAAGAGCATGTGTCCTGACACTGTAAAAGTCCTTGTCCTTGTTACACAGTCACTGTTGAACCACCTCCATCGCTTCACTGTCATCCTCATGGTTCATCTTTGATCCTCTGGGCTGTATGGAGGTTGGGTCGGCACAGACTATCCAAATGATGAGATTGCTTCTGTGGTGCACAAGCTGGTGTGTGGGCTAGTGTTGTCATGTCTCTGTCAGGTTCTTTGAATGTAATGTTTCAGTTTCATCTGGGTCTTGACATAAACCTCTGAGTTTACTGTGGCTACTCTAGGCAAGAAGGCAACAAGAACACCTCCCATGTCCATGGCTTGCTTAGGAAATAAAAATGAGGTGGCATTACTTTTTGACTGTGGGTATGTACACATGTGCACAATTTCTTCTGTGCAAGAATGCTGTAAGAAAAATTCTTTTCAGTAGTACTGTTTTTGTGTTTGGCAGTACACCTAGGCCTTCCTCATTTTTACTATCTGGAGTTTGTACGTTCTAACTTAGCTTGATTTTGTACCTGTGTAATTCCACAGATTTAAACACTGTTATCCATGATTTCCTTCACTTTTATAGTCTACATTTGTTCTGCACATAATGCTCTCAGATGGGAGTTTCAGTATATTGTATGCCACGTATATTTCAGACAGCAGCAAAGGAAAATCACTTTATTGAATTATGAGTATATCCACATTCAAACTGTGAAAAACACGTTGTACCAAATGGCTAAATCAAAATGCCTC